GGGGGGGGGCATCTGCCTCCCACCTGTCTCCAGCTGTTGACCACAGATTAAACCTAGAATTGCTGATTTAGATGGACTGCTTCATGCTTACTCTGCAGTGTGATATGCTTACTGATGATGATGGTGTGATCCCTAGAAGGGTAGCCTAGCACTAAGATAGCTTACCTGAACATGTGGTGGGATGTCCATCTTCAGAGGTTTTTGAGAGTTGGCTAGATCAAACCATGACTGACCTGACCTCATGCTGGTTTTGAAGGTGAAGGTTGGACAGGAGATGTTCAGAGGTCCCTTCCAACAAACATTTCTATGAGTAGTCCTGCCCAGGGAATATAGGATCACAAGCCAACAGCATTAAGGCTCCTTAGAGGGATTGTTTCCTCCCTGTGGAAGTCAAGGCTCAATTATCAAAGACTGGTGAGGGCTTAACTACAATGCAACAGGTAGAGAGCTGGGCAAGGAGAGAAGAGGAGGTCTGGGTAGTTCTTTTACACTGGAAAAGAAGAGGAGCTTTGCACGTTGCCTCTGTCTTTGTGTGTGTGTGTGTGTGTGTGTGTGTGTGTGTGTGTGTGTGTGTGTTGTTTCCAATTATCTTGCATGTTCAAATCTGTGCTTGGTGTGTCAATTCAAAGAAGGAAAAAAGGACAAGCCAACAATGAGGCAGCCGTTTTGGGGACATCATAAGGAAAGCACATCATACAGTCACCAAAGGAAGAGTCTTCTTCAGCTTTTCTTACATAGCTGTTTGTGGTGAAGGAAAAGATTCACATTCAGCTCTGCTTGAAGGAGCCTAAATCTACATCCCAGAAATAATGCTTTACTGCCTAGCGTGTCAAAGGTGAAAAAGGAGTTTGAAATCTCTTCCTTTAGTTCTGCTTCACTATGTCTGAAAGTACCAAAAAGCATTGGTGTAAGAGCAGGGTCTCAGCTGCCTGACGTCACCATCTGCTTGTAGAGCCAGTATCCTTCTGGGACCATTGTAGATGCCTTCAGCATGGAGCAGCTCTAACGGTGGGACAACCCTGCAGACAGCCCAGTGGTGTAGGATGTTTGGGAAAGGAGAAAGTTCCTGCCCAAGTCAGTAAGGAGTGGCTTTGTACTTGAGAGTCCCATCTCTCCCAGGAAACTCTTAACCACAGAGGTCGTAGGAAAAGAGGCCTTTGACCCCATGGCTGGTTTATTGCTGTTTTGCACTGGATACTCATGCAAGCTCTGCAACAAACAGATCTCTGTGCTGCTTGAAGTCTGGCTTTCACATCTCTGCTCTGGGGTTTTGTCCTGTACCCCTCAATGTTCAGTGTTGCAGCTTGTGGATGGAGTCAGGCTTTGGAGATGCATCCATTGCCATGGGCACACAGGGATTCTTCCCTCTCATGGCTCTACAAGCCATAAGAAATAGAGGTGTTCACTTCTGCAGACGGCCTTTGCTTCTCCAAGAAGCCTTCTGGGGACCTCTTCC